AATTGGAATCAAGTTACCTTTTGTCACCATAAATAAATAAAAAATAAAAGATTCTCAACAAATGTTCACATAGAATCTGATAGCCAAACATATGTTGTCTAAACTTAGTAGCATGGTTGCAATAATTTGACTTTATTTAAAAAAAAAAAAGAAAAGAAAAAAGAAAAAAAAAATTGGTCGTATCAGCCTAAAATCCTCTTAACTGCCTAGCCTTTGGTTTCCTCTGATATGTTAGCTTCCTCTAACAACTGGTTAGATGCTGCTAATGGATCTAACCAGTTTCAACATAGAAATTAATAGAATAACATTTTCAGACCCCTCCCGCAAGTTTTCCATCCCTCCATCTGTCCACAGTACAGATACAATGTTGCCACAGCACCTGAAGCCTTCATTAGTTGAACTTTGTGTTTCAGTCTTAGCAACAAAAGCTTTCTGGATACTTGCGTCTTTGAAAGGCAACTGAATGTTTAGAAATGGAATCACAGCTTTCATTCAATTTTAGATCTCTTCATGTGTTGTTATGCTGTCTTTAAAAGATCTATCAGTTCTTAAGTCGCAGCTGCTCATTCTGTCCTGACTGGATTAAGAGAGTGGAGGCCAGAGTGGCTGTGAACTAATCTATTACTCGGGGTTTGATTAGAGCGCCTGCCAGAGCACAGCAGAGTGCAGAGCTCCTTCGAGCGCAGCGACACGGTGGTGCTGATTTGCTGACACACACGCAGCAGCGGCACTGACAGACTAGAGTGGATCAGTATAGCGCCACCGCTCCAAGTGAGGGACACTGAGAGAGTGGGGGGAGGAAACAGGGTATCATGGTGCTGCATCATCTTGTAATGCGGGGTGTGTTGCTCTGTCAGCAGCCCTTCATTTTCACCTCCTGGGTTTCCTGTTGCCAGGAGTGAGCCCTGTGGAGCAGCAATGATGCTAGGCTAGGGTTTTCAAGACGAACCCCCACCGGAGGACTGGCTGTCTGTACAGAACCGCAGCGTTCATGGTGAGTGAGCAGCTGCACTGTGAGCGTGATGACCCACTGTCTCTCGCCTTGTCTGGCAGAATCAGAGGACACTGGTAGTCAGAGGTTGAAAGAGAAGCAGCACAGGAAAAGGACGTCTCGGGTATCCTGTAATAGCCTCTTTCAGGCTATTCCATAATAGCCGTAGCTTTGTGCTTTGTGTTGGGGAGCAGGGTGATGATTGCTGGAATGTCTCTAAAAAGATAATGTCTGGTTTTTGGATGTGTTGATGGTTGGTTGGCCAGCTAGGGGACAGAGCATCTCCACTGCATGGAACCTGACCTGTAGCCCTTTACCAAGTATTACCAAAGTATGTGTAGCAGTGTGGAAGTAGCATTGTGTTTTTTAATTGTAGGGACATCCAAGGGATTTCCTCCTGCTGTCACCACTGATGCAGTTAAAAAGAAACAGCTCATCTGAGACGTCTCATTGGAGTGTTTGATGCCAGTATTCAGTTCTATGTTTTTGTCTAGATATTGTTCACTTTCTGCCAGATCATTACAGACTCCTCCTCAGCTCC